AGAGTTTAAAAGAGCTGTAATTGTACAGAATAAAGACCTGGAACAGTGGTGGGAGAAATTCCAGTGAGCACAGAATTGCATCTTCTAGGTCCATTTTCATACCCTTTTCACTGCTTGGCCCATCATTAAAAAAAGGGCACCAGGGCTGGGTTTCAGCCAGATCATATACAGAAAGGAATGCCAGTGCTAGGACTTGGCTAGTCACACATACTGTAAATATGGGCCTGGAGGGTGTGCGTGAGGGCAGAAAGGAAGAAAAGCTCAATTCTAATGGCTTGAAACATGACCCAGAGGTTCAGCAGTTCAGAATCATAGTAATTCCATCTTGGCAGCCCATAGGCTTTTATTCAGGACTTTCAAAAAGGACTACAACTCCCCAAATCCTCCAGCCAGATCATGTTGTTATGTAAGGTCAAGTCACTTCCAGCTTATGCTGACCCTATGACTTGGTGAACTCAAATGTCCTCTTATTAACAGACCTGCTCAAATCTTGCAAACTCAATGCTGTGGCTTCCCTTATAGAGTCAATCCGTTCCATAGGTGGCTTCTTCTTTTCCTGCTGCTGTCAAATTTTCCTAGCACTGGTGTCTTTTTCTCAATCCATCCCATAGGTGGCTTCTTCTTTTCCTGCTGCCTTCAAATTTTCCTAGCACTGGTGTCTTTTTCAGGCTTGTCTTCTCATGAGACTCCCTAAGGATGATAGCTACACAATAAAAGTCAGACAAGAGATGACCCAGAGTGACTTATTTAACAGGACGAATGTCATGTCACCTCTGTTTTTAGATGTAAGACCCTGATTATGCTACTAACTATTCTACTATTTTATGAGATATCTAAAAGTTAAGTGTAAATTTGAAGTGGACAAGATTTTATTGAGGAATTTGGTGTCAACATTTAAAATCAGGTAGCTGGTTGGATAGCTCACTGAGCTGGAGTATTTTGCTGCAGAAACAGGGGTTGGGAGTTTGACTCGCCACTGTGCCTCTGCAAAAATGGCAGCCTATGTAGCCTTGGGCAAGCTGCACAATACCAGAGCACCCCTAGAAGAAAGGAATGGAAAATCACTTCTGAGTACAGTGGTGCCTCGACTTATGAACGTCCCTACTTACGAACATTTTGACTTATGAACAGCTCCGGTCGCAACATTTTGCTTTGACTTGCGAATGGAGCTTCCAGTTACGAACAGAAAAAAGGCAGGGAAAAAGGCAGGCAATTCAGATTTCTAATTGTAGGTGGCGACAAGGCTGTTTTGTACTGTAGCTCTTTCACTTTGAGCAGTTAGAGAGTGTGTCGTCGTCAGAGGCTTGGGAGAGCCGCCTCCTGCTTCGGAGTGAGCGTGTGTGTGTATGTGTGTCTGCAGGGAGGTAAGCTGCTGTTTTCTTCTTTTAAGAAAACTGTTCTGGGTGGGTTTTGGCTGGGGCGGGTATGTTTCTGTGCTGTGTTGTTGGTGGCTTTGCTGTTTATTTTTGGAGTTTTTCTTCTTCTTAAACCTCAGCAACGGAGATGGCTTTAGTGTTTGTTTTTGGAGGGTTTTTTTCCTTCTTAAACCTCAGCAGCGGAGCGCCTTCTGACCAGGCTTGCTGTGTTCTTTTTATTTTCTTTTTTTGGTGATTTTTTTTCTTCAGCCAGAATGGATTAATCAGTTTTCAGTGCATTCCTATGGGAAATGCTGCTTCGACTTACAAACATTTTGACTTATGAACACCGTTCAAATATGGATTACGTTCGTAAGTTGAGGCACCACTGTACTTTATACCCCAAAAAAGTCTGAGAAATGATCATTATAAGTCTGAATCAACTTGACAACACAGAATTATTAATGACTATTAACAGATTATTATTATTATTAAAAATAAGATAGCTAAGATTTAAAAGTCACACTTGTGTTGTATCCTCCCACAACAATGCATTTGTATTTCCAGAAAAACTGTTACCTAAACTTAATTGGTACATAAACTTAATTGCTAGCAACAGGAGTTGAGAAAAGAACCAGCAAAAAGTAAAATGTTTGTCACCTTACATATCAGCTGACTGTGTGAGAGATTGAAATAACATTGCAGTGCTGGGTATATACTTAAGATTTGTTAAAGTTTCAGTGGATGTCCAAACTCTGATTAGTACTGACATACAGATAGATAGATATACTGAGAGGCCCAAGAAATGTTATAAATGTTTTGAAATAGCTATACAGTTCCTCCTTTCTTAAACATACAGAAGTAAATGCTGACAACTGCATTTAGCTGACTGTCAATAACTGCTGACAATGTCACTGGGTTCTATACGGTCACAGAAAGTTAACTGGGACTGTCAACACTTCCATTCACTACAATATGAACACAATCCCACATAACTCCAGAGGTCAGAGAAACTCTGAACATTATTGGGCAGAATGATCTGCGGAACAGATCACTAATATACTCTGAGAAATGAAAGCAGCTGTATTTTCATGATCTAAGACACTGCAGAGCATTCTGTATATTAAGGGTCCAACTTATGGCAACCCCACGAATAAGGGACATTCAAAATGTCCTGTCTTTAACTGCCCTGCTTGTAAGCTCAAGCCTATGGCTTTGTTTAGACAGCCAGTCCATCTCATATTTGGTTTTCCTCTTTTCCTGCTGCTTTCCACCTTTGCTACTATTATTACATTTTTCAGAGAATTTTGCCTTTTCATGGTATGCCCAAAGAAGGGCAGCCTCAGTTCAACATTTTTGCCTCCACAGATAGTTCAGGCTTAATTTGCTGCAGGACCCGCTTGCTTGTCTTTCTGGCATTAAAGGGTATTCACAAGGATCTCCTCCAGCACTACATGTGATAGAATCATAATAATGATAATCAAAATTACCAGCCTGTTGGGCCTTTTCATTTTGAAACAAAGAAAAACTTTAAAGTTTGTTATTTACTTTACATCAGTTAAAAGAGATCAATTTAAAAGATTCCACAACCTTTTCCAACCACTGCAAGAAATTAAGAACTGCCCTGTTTATCTGTCACACTACCCCATTGCCCACTAGATGTCACTGTTGTTACTCCTAACATAGAGATTTAAGCACCAGCTTAAATTTGGTTGGTTGACATCAAGCTGGTATATTTTCTTCATTGATTATTGGGCTAATCTAGCTTGCTCTTGTTGGCAAAAACCAATAGTAGAAACTTCCTAGTGTCCTGTTCCATGAGATGACCAATGAATTTTAATGCCTTGACATGCAATCATTCACTTCACCTAGACTGCCACGGCAGCCAGCATCTTTCAGCACCAAGGCCAGTGCACAAATCTTTCAGCCACAATTTTGCAGTTCCTTCTGCTATATACACGCCACATATACAAATCCAGTTTGACCTTTGCTAATCAGCCTGCTAATTAAGAAATAATTGACAGACAGCTGTCCGCAAGCATGGTAGTAATTCACTTTGTGAATAACGGCCTGGCTCAGCCAGAAAACATTCCTTGCTTTTCTCTTCAGTCTTTGTGTTTTTATCCATGACACGATTGTGAAAGCCTCTATTATACCATTTTTTATCTGTCTGGCTAAGAAATCTGTAAATATTGATCAGCTGAAATTTCAGGTCTTCTCTTGTTTTCCAGCCATTTTCTATGTTTTCTGCTTCTTAAGTATTTATCCCACTGCTAAACAGGATCAACTGCAAACATAACTTATTACACGTGGTGGTACAGGAAATGACAAATTAAGGGTAAATACACAATTTAGAAATCAAGGCTAAATGAAATCAAACTGCATGGAGCATTTACTTAAATGATCAACCTTATTTTCTTTCTGAAGATTAAATCATTGATATACTCTGGCTCATATGTGATATGATTATACATCCAGCTTGAACAAGAATACATTTCCCCAGTGTTTTTAGCCACAAAAAATATTTGTATGACAAACTTAGACTATACAGTGGGTCCTTTCTCAGTATGATGGCTGCTTCTCACTAATCTCAAGTGTCCCCAAAATGCACACTAATACAGCCTTGGCTACCTGCATTCATTAAGCTTGAGCACATATTTCCAGTTATAACAATTTTTTCTGGCATCCGTAACAATCCAGTTTAAAGTTCTATTTGATGCTTTAAAATTGTCTGTGTCCATCCATCCATCCATCCATCCATCCATCCATCCATCCATCCATCCATCCATCCATCCATCCATCCATCCATCCATCCATCCATCCATCCATCCATCCATCCATCCATCCGCACACAGGTGGAAAGTCACAGAAAGTACTACACCAACAGGCAATATACAAAGAAACCAGCCATTGTGCATATTTATCAGATGGTGAGGAGATGAAATGAATAGTACAGAGAGGTTCTTTTTTAACTATATGGCCTGGTCCAATAGTGCCAAATATATACAAGCTGCAGCTTTCTATAGGATATTCTACACATGGAGACTATTTTTACATAGACAGTATTCATACTCTGTACATCATTCATTCTTTTAATCAGTGTATTAATAATCTAGTGTCTGATTTTGAAATGGTAATACCTGGCATTTGTACAGCAAGGGATGAAAATAGAAGAGTCTTTTGTAGACACAATTGCTTATATACTGCTAGGAGGCTCCCTTATTCTCCCTCCCCCCCATTATACAAGGAACCAGCTCAGGTATTTCTATACAGATATGACCCAGAGTTGTGCAGATCTGGTATATAGCCAGTCTGTTCTGATGCACTGGATGTTCACATGGCACGACATACTCATACCGCATCCAAGACAGGGCTTTGGATCCAATAGGTTTGCTGGCTCTGTGGCACTGTCAGCATTTCTTTTGCTCAGTATTGTTCCTTTATCTTAAAAATGGTGTTTCTGTCCCTTTTTAGTTCTGAGAGCACGGTGTAGACATGGTCCAAGTGTCACATGCATATTAAGGTAATGATCTATCTCCTATGTAATAGTTCAAATACTGTAGTGTCTCAGATTCCACTGGACAATTTGGAGGAATAATGCTGCATAGCTTTAAGTAACATTAGTAATAGCAAAAGAGGCCTTACCTTCTGAAAGAAATACTGTGTTGTAATAATGAAGACATCAAAACCACAGCTGGTCCTCTTAAGTTCCTCCTGTATGCAGCTGAGTTTCCTGGCCTGTTCATCACACTTTTCTTTCATCTGCTGGATGAACTGCCGCTCAGCCTCTCTCGTCTGCAAATCTGGCTTTGTAGAAAATCCATTCCTTGGAACAGATGACCTTTGTTTGGGGTACCCTATGCGAAGCAATTAAAAATGTATACAAAGCTGTAATCAATTGTTTCATATGTATGGACACAGCTTTTCTCCTTGGACTTGACTCCTTTTTTTTTTTAAAGAAAGAATAATGCTCCACTCACACTGTACTTCCTTGCAGTGAAAAAATTACAGCCACCACCTTGCAGGGACTGAGAGTCCTGCATGGGATGGCAGAAGGCATTACGGTGGCCAAAGTCCTATTGAGTTTTTATACTGGTGTAGTGCAAACCTGTGTAAACCTCAGCAACAAATTACTGCAAGCTAAGAAGTCAGCATAGACATTCACAGTTGTGTGCTGAGTTTTGCAACTCAGGGCACAACAGCAAATGTCTCCACTGACCTCTGGACATGGAGCAACTCCTTGTTGAGATTTATGCTGACTGTGCTATATCACCAGTTTGAAGAGACGCTTGTTCAGCAGGCTGAGGCAAAGAAGCAGTCCTGAAATCAGCAAAACCAGAGAGATTGCATTTGTCTTCAGTGTGGATTGTCACTCTCGAATTGGCCTTCTCAGCCATACTAGATGCTGTTCCAAGACCTCTATTCAGAACAAATTATCATAGTCTCTCGAGACTGAAGGATGCCTACAGTCAGCCTACAGCTATATCAGCAGCTGTAACTAATTCGATTTGGGTCAACATGACAGTGTTACGGATGAAGAATAAATAAGTCAGCCCAGAAAACTCACAGCAACCAATAAATAAGTCATTTTTATACTCCCATGTGATTGTTTTATGCCTGTGGCTTTATGGTTCTGTACATACTGTACGTATTCTTACCAAAGTAACAGGCATATTTTGAGAGACGGCTGACAACTTTGAATTACCTTCAATTATCAATGGCCATTATTCCTTTATACTCCTTCCAGTATCAAAGGCCTTATATTTCCAAGATCCATTTTTATAGAAAATGAATAGAAGGGTGTAATTGCTTTTATACCCAGTTTGTAAGCATTTGGTTGGCTGCTATGGGAACAAAATCCTGGGCAACATTCTTAGACCCTTCATTTGTTCCTGAAAATACAGGTGCCTGAAGTTTAATCTTCACATTCATTCTTGCCATGTTATAGGCACCTTATGGGCTATTTCCCATTTAGCAGGTTACCAACACACAACATTGCACCCCTGCTGTATGTAGGGCAGTGCGCAACAATAGAGGAATGGAGGGATAGACAGAGAAAAAGACAGACAGACAGAGGCAGATTTCCAAGAATATACTGTAGTGTACAAAGTTGCTTAAGGAAATATTTTCCTTCCAGACATAATGGCATGTTACCCAGTCTTAACAAAAAGATCAACCAGACTTCCTTACTTTGCAAAGAGTAAATTCACAGGGGTAGCGTTTGGAAATAATCCCTTCAGAAATTCAATTCTGGAATTCCTAAGGAATCCTTATTAAGGAATACTGTATGCTTTTCTAGCATAGAACATTCATGCACTTATAATTTAAAACCTGCTATTCCACAGACAGACTCATCCATTCTACAATCCTTTTAATAACAAGTGACACCAAAGTCATCATCCCACGAGAGTTCCCACTGTCTTGAACACAAAGGATGTCACTGTGAAAATATAATGCCAAGTCTCACAGTGACAGACGCTTCTTCTGAAGAATGTACGTAGGATCCATGCAGTGGTGGCAGCTGCAGATGCAGTTTTTATAAAAACACAAGAGAAAACTGGAAGAGATATAGTATGATAACAGTCTTGAGCAAAGACGATTGTAAGTAGGTATGTTCCTGGCTTATTATCACCACTGTCTTGCAATGGAATCGGATGGAGTTTCCATTATTTCCTGAAATGAACAGGGAATCTTGTGAATTAACTCTCCAGAACTATGTCCAAAACTTCACAGTGGAAAGTTTCCACTATATACCCAGAAAAGGCTATACCCAACCATCTGTATTTTTCCATTCAGACTCTCCTTCCAAACATTTAACCCCTGTTCAAACAAAGATGAGAGCCAGTAATTTACTAATATCTAAGCATATATGCTCCTTCATGGATTGCTGCCTTGTCGTGGCGAAGGGGCTTGAGTAACTCAGAGAAGCTATGGGCTATGCCGTGCAGGGACACCCAAGACGGACAGGACATAGTGGAGAGTTCCGACTAAACGCAATCCACCTGGAGTAGGAACTGGCAATGCCACTTTGCCAAGAACGCCCCATCTTTGCCAAGAACGCCCCATGATCAGAAACAAAAGGCTAAAAGATATGACGCTGGAAGATGGGCCCCTCAGGTTGGAAGGCGTCCAACATGCTACTGAGGAAGAGTGGAGGACAAGTACAAGTAGCTCCAGAGCTAATGAAGT